CCGATATTCCGGCTAACGAAAACGATGAGATTCAGGTCATGGATAACTTGGATGAGACCATAATGGACGATCTCGCGGAGGCCAGGCAGAAAGGAACTTGGGTCAAGAAAGGTTCAGCTAAGAAGGAGGAATCCGATACATCTAAGGCAGTCAAGAAAGAGACGGGCACCAGCTCAAGGACATGGTCATCCCGGGCTCGATCACGCACTCCCTCTCGCGCTGTGCGTAAGAAGGCTGATCGAACTCCGGGAACCGCCCGTTCGCTGTCCGAAGGTCGCAGAGTTTCGTTTTCCGACACACCTGAAACTAAGTATTTCGATCCCTTGCCGAAGAAGCGTGCGACCTCGCGAGCACGGGAAGTCATCCGCGATGCCAAGGGCCAAGGAAGCGCAGAAGACTGATTTTCAGTACAAGCATCGCCCCTGAGAAGATGACTTGCCTCGTTTGCGCCAATGCGGACGTCTTGTTTTTGTGCCGCGCGTGCGGCCACGGGTCCTGTCTTGACTGTTACCACGAGGCCGAGAACCATTACTCATGCAACAGCAAATTTATTTGTGTTCCACTGTCCCAGACGCCGATATTCCGGCTCCACTGAATGAGCATGAGCAAGAAGAAATCACAGCCGAAATCGATTTCACAATTCCCTTCTCGCCAGAATCTGAGGGCTGGACCGCGTCTGACCGACATTCGGGTCGACTTCGCCGCTTGCAAGAAATGAAGGACCTTGTCCTTGGCGGTGGGTCCACAGGATATGCTGCAATGGATCGCATTATCCTTGAAGGAGCTCGGAAATTCCACTATTCGAATCATCCAACATATCCGACCTTCTTCATCCCCTCAGTTGCTCAGCATTGGGACAGGCAGTTTGACATAGCGCCGTACCCGATCATTCAACCAAGCTGCTACTACGACTCGAAACGCCGGTATGACGGCGACGAGATGCGACAGATCGTAGAATTAAGCCGTTCGTATATGCAGGGCTATCGCGCCAATCAAGGCGATTTTGACATCAATGAGGCAAGACTTCTTCGCTCGACAGAACACGTCAGTGTCTTGCTGCTCAACCTTGGCGATATCAATCGATTGCTCCATTTTAACGGCAAGCAGCCTCTGCCCAAGGAGCTCGCAGATTCGGATCAGTATGCCGTTTTGCCACACTACTTAGTCCGAAACACGGCATACATTACGATCCTATTGGAGGCGGATGGCATTGATCGACACCGTGAACTTTTCAATCAATACCAGCGCATGTGTGTCGTCGCTTATCCGATGGCGAGTCACCCTCCATCGCCTGCATTTGTTCTACCGACGGTTCGACGTCGAGATTGGAACTAACTAATCCGCCGAATCGAGCTCGAAGGGGATCGTCTTGTTTGGGTAGCCCATGCCGCGACATTCCGCGCGCTTTGGGGAAAGGTCGAAGAAACGACTCACGGCGGCATCACCGATGACAGAGGAGTCAGAAAGAACCTCCGAGCAGCCCTCGAAGAGGGCGCCGATCCAGCATCAAATATGGAGGCAATGGTCTGCCCTGATGTCCTTGGCGTTGCACAAGCATCCACCACTTTCGTTTTGGCTGAACCGGTAGATGCTGAGGCATTGTTCCACGAGTGTCCGATATACCGGGCGGGAAGCTTGGACAACTGCAAACGTATGCACATGCCTGAATTGCGAGTTTGCGCCTTTCATCTCAACGCCCATGCCTTTCAGTCAGGTATCACGGCCGGCAAGAATGCCTTGACAAAGATTTTGATCACGGCCGTTGCAGACCAGGTGGACGTCATCGCGTGTGATGCAAATCAGTTCACGAACAGCAACTGCCGGTCCGATCGACACGCCGATCCGGCAACCGGGGCTGTCCTTACTATCCTTGACCAGATCCTTGTTTCAGCGAACAAGAAGCGCGAGCCGAGCAAGCGGATCACTTACAACTGGGAGGTCTCAACCCTCGCCACTGAGCAGCTCGCCGCTTTGGAAGGTCAGGATGCCGATTGCGACTGCTTGCTGCAGATCGTCCTTAATTACAACAAGGACATGCACACGTTGCGGAGCAGGTCATCCGATATTCCGGAAGACCGTGGCAGAGTCGGTTACGAGGGCCCGCCTCGACATAAGGAACGATCATTAAGACAAATGAGCTTCTGAAGCACCTCAACCATTTGGACCTTTGTTTTAAGTCTAGCGATGAAGCCTATCATCATCCTTTTCAATGCAACTTCTCGCTAGGAAGTCGTTATAAGGTTCGAGTGCGCGGCGAAGCCTCTGCAGCCCACCGTGCGGAGAAGCAGATAGAACGAGTGGAGCGCTTGAAGCAGCAGAAACGTCAGCAACGACAGGACAATTGGTCCAGCGCAAACCAGGACAGATGGTCCAGCGCAAGCTCGTCTTGGTGGGACGACAGCTCGTCCTGGTGGCAATCCGGCTACTCCTGGAGTTCCGGATATAGAGGCTATCGTAACTGGTGACCTGAGTCTGCAAGAAGCCGATATACCGGCTGGTGAACTGCCTAAGTTGCATGATGTAATGACCCAAAATAGCTTGAGAGCTTAACGCCTTTAATGACTTGATTTAAGATTTAATGACTTGAAATGCTTTGAGAAACTTCCGATATTCCGGAACTTTTGACAGCATAGATTTGCCTTTCGTAGATTTGTATAGAATATCTGACGCAACATAAATGAGCCAGAAAGGCATCTACGGTCCAGTTCTGCGAAGCCAGAACTCTTGTAATTCACTTGCACTCTTTTGCTCATGCAAGCTTTTGTACTTTAGCGATCGTAAGCTTCGACACGAAAAGAAAATTTGTGTCTGTTTTGTGTTTGTAGGGTCCTAGGTCCCCCTGGGCGTGTCTACGCTATACGTGTGTAGCACCTGTTCTTCGTAGATAGATTCTGTATATACCTCTTCAGTAGGCTTTCGCTGTAATTCATTTGGCTCAAGACTTTGAAGCCCGATACCTGCACTTCGCTGCCATAGAAAAGGTGTGCATCGCTGACGCTTGCACACTCACTTGTCTTTCTGGCCTCACTTGGTGTATTCGATCAGGTCCAGTAAAGCTACTGCCACTTCTGGGGGAACTTACCCCTCACCCCCCTCGGCCCTTAAAAGTAAATGTCGGAGGCGATTTCTCAGTGAGATGGGTGTCCACGCTGGTCATAATTCATTTTTGCTAAAGCAAAAGGAAAACTCAGGTAGCGTAACCGCTACCTTTCGTGACTTCCTCCTACTTCCTCCTACTTACTCCTACTGCTGCTGCTGCTGCTGCTCCTCCTCCTCCTCCTCTTCCTCCTCCTCCTCCTCCTACTACTACTACTACGACTACGACTATGGCTACTGCTACTGCTACTACTGCTGCTAACTGCATCAGCCATGTCGCTTTGCAGGTGCATGGTTTTTTCTAAACGGGCATTTGGAAGCTTCTGCATCCCTGGGTTGTGAATCCGCTGATTCCATTCCCCAACAAAACTGCGCCAAGAGGGACACCTTCTGCCTACTTTGCTCACAATATTTGTACAAGAACAAACGAAGTCTGACATCTCATCAGAAACGGGTCTTTCAAGTTCCTGCCGTTTTGGGTTTGAAGCTACGAGACATTGTGGACAAGTCTGTCGAGTGGATCAGTGCACACTCTGTGGGAAGGGGCGGATTCCTAGCGGGTTCAAACCCAGAGCCTCAGTGCCTATGTCGGTATTGTGTGTGTTTAGGACGGCAACTGTGAAACGCTGTCCCGCAGTCTCTGTGCTCGTCAGCAAGGTGCGCTGTGTTCAGGTGGTAGCTTCGCATCGCAGTGACATTAGGGAACGGAGTCAAAGGATTTAAAACCATTGTCAGAGATGCGGAGAATCATCATGCGTGGAGTGGTTCCATCGTGGATTCCGAAGACATTGTCAAATCCTCAAACGCGTGAGAGGTCAAAACTTCTGGCAACTGTTCAGGGATCTGGGATTCTCATATTCCTAAGCCCTAAGCCTTTTCCAACCAAGGCATGCTTTGAATTCCAGGAACATAGGTCGAATTAATGAGTTGAGGTTTCATTGGTAGCCCTTTTGGGGGCTCGCCGGAGTTTCTCAATTCAGCAGCAAAGTCACCCTGCGCAAGGCGAACCGACAGGTTGGTCGATCAAAAGGTATTTCGTTACAGGCATGGCCGCATGGTCCATCATGCACAATAGTACCTTACAGGCCGTATAGCCTGGCCCTTCCAGCAGGCTGCATGTACCGTTGTAAAGCATGCCTGGCTCTTCATCATCTCATGCAGGACTTTGCGAAACAAATTCAAAGGTAGAGATTCCGTCTTTCAAAGATGCCGCTAGCAAGCGTGAGCCACACCCACGCGTGGGGAGACTGTGCAGTTAACACCTGTCGCCTTCCGTGCGGTTGGTCGTGTGCCACGGCTTTGAGTATGGGGGACCGCACAACCTGAAAAGCGACATAAAATTGAGTGACAACATCACCTTGCGACATCAGGCCACAATGCACCCACAGCAGTCAATCAGAACACAACACCGCATCACATAGGCAGACTCCAATGACAACATGACATCAAAGCACAATATCGCAACATATGTCAAGAGCAATGACAATGCAACGTTGCATCGCATTACATCACGTCAACAAACTCCAATAACAATATCAACTCACGACATCACATCGAGACATTACACCCTCCAATATCACAAGAGCGATCAAACATGCGTTCGGCTCGTTGAACTCTGGTGCATGCTTGCACATGACATCGCGACATCAAGCATGATCAGAAACCAACAAGTGTTGAACTTAAGTGGGTTATAAAGTTACACCCACCAGTTCTGCTGAGATCTACCCCTTCGGGGAACCCACCCCTCGGAGGACCCACTACACTGTTCAAAGTGGTCGAAGCAGCACAAGAAGCAGCACAAGTGGTCGAAGTGCACATCGCAGGTACTGAAATTTGTGACTGCAGAAACAGTTCGTTATCACCGGGTAGCCCCAATCCGCTTAAAAATAGCACGCTTTTCTGGCCTCCAAAGAAAGAACTGCATAACAGGAACCCGTTTCAGACAAGAGATCCAAAATCTGAAAATACATGCTGTCAGCATTTCGGCCAGGTCTGCTGTTGTTCTCCAATTGTTGGCATCCGCTCCTTATAAACACTCTCGCGTCTTAGTGACAGGTCAAGTCATTGCATCGAATCTAAACAAAATCCAATGTAACATGCAGCTAGTAGTGTCGGAAAAGTTTGTAAAACAGAGTGCACTTCAACTTTGATGCAACGTGATTGACTGCTTCGCCTGCCAAGCCTGCGCTGCATTGCAAAGAAAGCAAGAGCGTCCTACTAAGCTGATGTGCTCTAATGTTATTGTATTGTTTGAAGAATGGCGAATGGAGTGGAACCACAACGTGTTTGCCATGCTTAGCACCATTCATGACAACCAATACGTCCGCATTGATGCCTGGAGGGTTCTTTGACCCGCGTGCTGAAAGGGAAGAGATGAGAAGAGATAATATTAGAAAGGTGCTGTTGTGTCTGTGTTTATCGTTTGCCACTGCTAGCCAGGAACATCGTCAAGTCAGAGATTTGTCTGTGACATCCTGTAGCACTTTGCTCTGAGCAAACAAGCTTCAATTGCAGTGTCACCACGTGAGAACGTGTGCCTCTGCTGTCGAAGTGAGAATGTGTCTGTCGAAGCGCGTGTCTTTAAGACGCCGTTTAAGCGCTTGCTCTTTTGTTGTGGCGAACTGCGGAAAGCTCTTCTACAAAACTCATATTTGCCCGAAGCTTTGCAGCTGAAAGATCTAAAGCTATAAAGAGCCACAGAACCACAGAACCACTTGATTCACTTCATGCTTGGAAGAATGCTGCATAGCATGAGCCACTAAGACTTGAATCACCGTATGCAAATCACGTTTGCTCAGAAGCCTCCTGGCATTTCATATGGACGGTGCCCGTGAAGTGCAGTGGCCCAGCACCTTGCCGTTAAAATCGCAACTGGACTGTGCACAAATTCTGTCTGTCTCTGCTTTGTGCCAGGCCTTATTCGGAGTACAGCAGCAGGCCTGACCATTAGACTGGATGGCAAGAAGCAATGACAATGCAACACCATTTTGGGGGGGCTCGATCTGGCTTATGAGCTGGCAGCAACTTCTTCCGCAACAGCCTGCAATGAGGATGACGACAATGGCCAAGAACTCCAAGAAACCCATCCCAATCAATGTGTACCTGCAAAGGCCAAAGACGGGAATCTGTCTGGTCCTTCTTGCAACCAGCAGGACATCCCGTGAAATGCAATTTTGAAACATCCTGATCCGGAAAGCATTGCAAAGCAGATTCGGAAAGCCATGACAACTGCACGATTAGCGCACGTGAACAGATCCTCCTTATGGATGGGTTGCGTGCCATGCCCACCACCAATGCAGCGAAAAGCTGACCGATGCCCTGAAAACGTCAGTTTAAGCTTGGCGCTTGGACTATATAAGTGGATTGGACACTGACTCTGACTCCAGACTTTCGAGACTCTAACTTGCACCGATGCTGGGCGATGCTGGATCTCTTAACATGACCCACTGAATACTTGTGCATCAGCAATGAGATGCCATGAGTTTGCTCAGGCATCCAAAAACTGAAGACATCTGATCTCTTGAGTCAGCACCTGTGCGCAACCACCAACTGCCACCATTGCGATGGCACAGCCGAGCACAGACACGCCAGCATTGCGCTTAGACAGTGGTGCACCTCAACTTAGGAAGAAAGGCAACAAGTTCAGTGTGATAGCGGCTTGAGAATATTTGAGAATTTCAGCAGAATCGAATTGGTGTCTTAATGATTGCTTCTGTACACTATCGACGTTTGACAGCTGATCTCCAATACTTGTTCAGTCATGCCGTGTCCTTGAAGCAGCTAGTCAAAGGGTCTACTCACCTAGTACTACTCACTGAGTATATATCACTCAGTATGCCTG